CCACTGGATCCAAAGACTTTCTACCCACTGGCCCGTGATCATCCTGCATTTGGCTTCATTGCATGTGTTTCGTGAGTCTGAAGAGGACTTTATAGATTGATGTCAGACATATGGGCTAATATGGGACTTAAGGACTTGATCTGGACTGGGCTGGGAGATTTTCTCCATGGTCAATTGCTCTCGTGTATAAGCCTCTTTCTTATACACATATGGGTGTCCATGGATTTGTTTCTCTAGTCTACCCGGACTAACACCTGTCCTCTCATGACCTCTTCAAGCCCATCACGTTCCTTTTCCTGCCCAGCCTCCTCCTCAGGCCCCCCGGCGTCTCCTGCTCCCCACCTGATATTGATGCTCCATAACCCGGCTGGTCTTGTTGGAGGCTGTGAAGTTGAGATACTTGGTAGAGTTCTCATGGCTAATGGCAGAGAGAAGGGATATGGACAGGAGTCAGCAGAGCATCAGGGTTGCCCCGGAAGGCATCTTGGGCTGAGCATGTGATAGGTCAACAGGCATATGGGTAAGGCAGCCCTGATGGGTATAGGCGAGATGGTGTGACAGGGCAATGAAATTTGGCTACCGTGTGTGCCTATTTGGGCCAGTCTCACACACACAACATATGAAGATATACACAGGCACGCATCTATACATGCACATACATACACACACACACACACACACACACACGGAGATACACAATTGCCTGTGTCCAGTCCAATCGGGAAAAGTAAGCTAACGCGACACCTTGTGACCACCAGGTAGACAGCATATTTCACCGGCAGTTGCAGCTGGAACTCCGTTTTGCTGGTCTTGGGCATGTTGTTCTCACTGAAGGGAAAGAGCGAGCCGAGCTCTGGTCAGCTCTTGAGAGCTGAGACTCAGCCTTTCCTCCCCACTGTTTCTCTTTGCCCAACTCCATGAGATCACCAACTCCGGTCATCACGGAATCCTCACCTCACTGTTCTCAAACTCCTCCCCTCGACGTAGCCTGGGCCCACCCCCATGGGTATGGCTGTCTGCAGGAGGCTTCTCTTCGCTGATCCCAAGATTCACAACTGCTCCTGTTCCAATCCCCCAAGTGATCTTTCCAGCAGCCCGATGTGATCACGTCACACCACAGATTAAACTGTCAACTGCCCTGACGTCACCCACCCGTCTTTTACGGCATATGTGGCAGCCCACCTCCCCAGCCCATGTTGAACCGCCACCAGCTCCCGAGACCCGACACTATTTGCTTAGACCACACCGAGCTGCCATTCCTTGGACACATCCTCCCAACCTCCAAGTCCTGCCTGGTACCGGGATCCTTCTCCCGACCTCTCGTTCCCCGTCAGTTCATGCCTTTGCTTGGCTAACCCACAGCCGGAATCTTCAGGAGTCGTCTCTGAACGCCAAGAGGAGTGACATCCCCCATCGAGTCACCCACTTCCTACGATGTTACGATGACCAAGCCTCTTGTCAGTGTTCGCCACTGACGTGTAACCACGTCTGTCCTGCCCAGGACTGTCTCTCCAGCACTGGGCATAACACCTGGCACATTGAGGGTGCCCCGTGGATATGTCATGAGTTAAAGGGAAGCTCGGTGTGTGTATGGGGTGGGGTCGGGGGGCGGGGAATGGGCAAAGAGCCAACCTGGACAAAGGGCCTTCAGAGGGGAGCACACTTGGGGGGGACTGGGCCCCCGCATACCTGGTCACGTTGGCCTTGAGGAGCAATTGATTTCCAAGAGCAGCATCCGAGTCCACGCCAAATGTGATATCAAAGGTGACCTGGGGTTGGAGAGAGATGAGGTAGCAACAAGAATAGGAACAACCATATGAACGAATAGCCACCAAGCGCCGAACTGGAGCGTCTACACCATGGACTAGCTTGCGTCAGTTCAAAAGAAAGACGTGACCACCCCTGCTACGATGTGGTCAAACATGATTCTCAAGTGAAAACCGTTCGTCACCAAAGCCTGCCTCCTGTGCGATCCCAATTCCATGGAATGACAGAAAGAATCTATATTCCCCGGAGGTGTGGGCAAGGCTAGGAGGGTTGGAGGGGTGAGGGCTCTCTGATGGCCTAAAACTGTTCTCCAATGAATGCTGACAACGAATGCACAACTGTGTGTAGACAGGAGGCCGTTGCCCTGTGCACGCTCCAGTAGTGACTGGTACATTATGTGATGGAGAAGACCGCGCTGATTATCCCAATAAAACTGTCTTTGTGAAAAAAATCGACGAAGAAGAATCCGATCCATTTCAGGAGCAGACAAAGGAGGAAAGAAAAGGAAGCCGCGGGAGGTGTTCTGACCTCAGAGTTGTCTGGGAAGATGGGGTGGTGGACGCTGCAGTTGCAGCTCTTCAGTGTCTCAGGCCCTCCCGAGGGGGGCCTGGGGTCACAGAACAGTCCCCAGGACCGCTTGGAGTGCTGGTTCTGAAAAGCAAGGGAGAGAGACACGATCGCGTCAAGCACCGGTTGCGGGGGTGCGAAAAGCAAATGTCGGGTAGAACTTGAGGCTGCGTCAACTACCTGGACTACTGAGACTCTCTGATAGGACAAGCCAGCAGGGTAGAAGAAGGCAACCTGAGTCCCGTAGGAGTCCTCACCCTGATTTCTCACGGTCACCGTCACATGGAGGTCCTGGGGGCCACCCACCAGCAGTGTGTCCAAGCTGTCAGAGGAACAAGATAGGCCATGTGGTCGTTACATCATCTGTGGTCAATTGGAGACTTGAGAGTGAAGGGGTGGCGTCTAGCCTGTCAATCAGGTTGCAGCTTGATGACCTCATTTGGAGGCGCCATGGAGATAAATAGCTCCCTGGAAGCGGGACACATACTCACTCCCTGGGAGACATCCCTGCTGACAAGATACATGGAACTAGCTTAGAGCCCTGGAGCTGAAGAAGCCGCGTGGAGACCCCTGACAGCGCTGAGATGCTTACACTGCCACTGGTTCCACAAGACTTCCCACCCACTGGCCTGTGATCTTCCTGCGTTTGGCGTCATTGCGTGTGTTCCGTGAGTCCGAAGAAGACTTTATAGACTGGTATCGGACATGTGGACTTGATCTGGACTGGGCTGAGATGTCTTCTCCATATTCAATTGCTCGTGTAGATAAAGCTCTTTCTGATACACATATGAGTGTCTCTGAATTTGTTTCTCTAGTCCACTGGACTAACCCAACCATGACGTGCTGTGGCCAACATGCTTTGGTGGAAAGGTGATGTGGAGACACGAAGAAAGAGGACGGTGGGCGGGATAGCGCCACGGGATTGACGCCCACAACCGCGTCCCAAGGAACTGCCTTAGGCCAGGGTCCCTGGAAGGCCAGGAGAGAGTCGATCCCAGCGGTGCCGGCTTAAGAGAACGCGATGCGGCAAAGAAACTCACGTCCCAAAGCTGAGGGTGATGCTCAGGTCATCCTGGCAGACGCTGTCGTTACCGCAATTCTTCTCAAAGGGGAGCTGCAAAGAAAGCACAAGCTAGAAGCGAGGAATGGACACAAGGAACGACAGGGGAAACAAGAAGATGGACTCGTAACATAAATTCTACGAAACGAAGTCACGAAGCGAATGTCCGCCACCTTGTCTCTGGCCTCCCCCGTGTTCCTGCCGGGTTCCAACTCCGGCACTCACCATGGCTGTGAAGAGTCTCTGAGCATCCACAGCCAACACTGGCCGAAGGTTCCCGAAAGAGGTTGAGGGCTTCCCCACCAGAGAGAAGTTGAGTTGCAGAGTGATGGGGGCCACTGAGTCTTTTACACAATTCTGAGAGACAAGGAGGGTCTTGGGAACTGCCCTCCTCAGCTTCCCAAACCCACCCGGGGCTTGGAGGACCCGAGGGTCCGATCACGCGCCTGCTCACCGGTAACAGTAGCTTTAGGGTCTCACAGCTCTGTGCCAATGTCAAGTCCTGTGCTTGTTGAAGTGCCCTGTTCTTCGTCTGGAGGAAGATGGCCCGGGGGGTTGTCCGCCTGGAGTCCAGAGCCAGGTCATACGTGATGGTGCTCTGAATCTCTCCTGAAGGGGCAGAGTAGCATGGGGTGACCAGACCAAGCTTTAAAGGCAAACAGACAGGGGTAGGAGCCCCAATCGCCTTGCTCCCCAGCTGTGTGACTTTGAGTCCATTGTCCGACTGTTCTGAGTCTCGAGTGTTGTCGTTGGGAGCATCGAGCCGGTTCTGACTCAGGGAGACCCTAGGAGCAACCGAGGATCGACGGCACAGCTGGGTCCTGTCCTCATGTGTCAGCCGGACGGCAGCCACACAGTCCGGCCAGCTCATCAAGGGCCTGCCTCCTTTCTTGCCACCCCACTAGTTTACCAAGCAAACCTGACCACCCGATTAGAAGAGATCCGTGGTTGTGCCATGCCAAAGAAAAGTTATCTAACAGCATGGGAACGTGTTCCAACAATCTCATTAATAACACAATCATTCCTGATGTCAGAAGGATCTTGGCTGAAAGTAGAGAGAGGCAGAAAGATGTTGACCTTCGATGGACTGTGTTAAGGTATTTGACCATGGGGGGTCATAATATATGCTAGAGAACATGGCAAACCATGGGAATTCCAGACCCGTCCATTGTGCTCATGCCGAAGACCACAAGGCAGTCATTGAAACAGGACACAGGGACAGTCCATGCGTGAGCTCAGGAAGGGTTGCTTCAGAGTTGTGCGTTTTCAACAACCATACTGCCGTCATTCTTCAATCTGCAGGCCATGCAGTCCATCTGAGAGGCTGCGCTCTGTGTACATTGGACGCAGCAGAATTGGAGGAAGCCGCATGAGCAGCTTTCCATCAGCAGATGGGGATCGTGGCTCGCTGAAAGCACTTGCTGATAAGAGATCAAAGACTGAGGGAATCCAGGACAGATGATCCCTTCAGGACTATTGGTGAGAGTGGCGATACCGGGAGGGTGGAAGGAAGGCGAGGTAGAAAGGGGGAACCGATTACAAGGATCTACATATAACCTCCTCCCTGGGGACGGACAACAGAAAAGTGGTGAAGGGAGACGTCAGGTAGTGTAAGATCTGATAAAATAATAATAATTTATAAATTATTAAAGGATCATGAGGGAGAGGGAAGCTGGCTGGGAGGGGGGAAAATGAGGAGCTGATGCCAAGGGTTTAAGTGAAGCGCAAATGTTTTGAGAATGATGAGGGCAACGGATGTACAAATGTGCTTTACACAATGGATGTATGTTTGGATTGTGATAAGACTTGTATGAGCCCCCAATAAAGTGATTTTTTTAAAAGAGAGAGAGATCAAAGACTGAAGTCTTCGTATTCAATCATACCTCAATATAAAGAAATGTAAAATCCTCACAGTGGGATCAATAAGCAACATCATAATAAATAAGAAAAGATTGAAGTTGTGCAGGGTTTCGTTGTCCTTGGATCTGCAATCAATGACCACTAATGCTGCCATCAAAAAAACAAATGGTGTGTGGCATTGGGCACATCTGCTACAAAAGGCCTCTTATTATTGTTCCCTAGCAAAGACAAGACCTCAAAGACGAAGGTACATCTGACCCAAGTCATCGTACTTTCCATCACCCCGTAGGCACGCAAAAGAGCCCTGGTGACACAATGGATGACCCACTGGGTGCCAACCCCAAGGTCAGACGCTCTACACCAGTCGCGCTGTGGAAGGAAAATGCGGCTTTCTGCTCCAGCCAAGAGTTACAGCCTTGGTGACCCAAAAGGACAGCTCTACTCTGTCCTGTCCAGATACAAGTCCATGGCAACGCGTGGTCCATAAACGAGATGATGAAGCCAACGACCTGCCTAGAGCATTTCAGAGGACCCGCAAGTCAACGAAGGGTTATAAAGAAGTGCACAAAGACCCCACGTTAGAACACCAAAAGGAAAGACCATGCTCCACCTAGCTCAAGCTGAAAGAACGGAAGAAGGAAAAATCAAGCCTCGAGTTGTAATCTTGAAGAATTCGATGGGCAAAAGATTGAACGGTGCAAGAAGCATCAACAGAAGAAAGACCACTGGCTAAATGAACGATGCTATCAATAGAATTGCCCTATGCCCCTAGTGGTGATTTATAATGTTCCCTGAAAAAATAATAATGATGTCTCTAAAGTGAACTAGGGACATAGATGATATGTATATGGATTTTGAGCTCTCACGAAGAGATCACTGAAGATATGGGTGCGACAGCAGAGTGTGGTGAAGAAATCAAATGGTGCCCGGCTATCAGAAAGTATAGTGTCTAGAGCCTTAAAGACTTGCCTTAGCACAGCAGTCATCTAAGGGAGGTGTCCGTTGAGACCATACGGAAGAAGCACAGCAGCCTGTGTGATCCAAGGATGATGAGTACTAAAATCCAAGACAGGAAGAGGAACGGCACTAGAGCTTAAAACCTGAGCAAGACGCCGGATGGTGCACTTGGAAAGTGCCGGGCTGTTAACCCACAAAGTTACCTCTCTCTCACCCACTGGAAATTTGCTAAATTCTTGGTTCAACTTTTAAGTTTTCCAACTAATGTTTTTGACTGAATTTCTTGTCCTGAGCCTGCCTGGCTTGACAGAAGTCTCCTAAGTAGATTTGGAGGGTTCCCTCTCTGTAACGTCCTATTCTCTGTGACTTTCTTTGTAGTACTGACATTTCTATCCCTCCCATCAAGCATCCAGCCAATAGGGACGCAGGACGGAGTTTGGCTGATTGTGATAAAAGGTGTGTCCGAATGAATTATTAACTTCGCTCTCATCTAACGATCAACTCAGCTTCCTCTCAAATCCCACCTCAAAGAGAAAGCCTGACTGGTGCACAAGTATGGCCTCTTTGCTTCTCTGGAGAACGCGGAGGAGGGAGGGTTACACGCTCACTGCTTTGGTGGGGTTTTCTGGGCCTCCACACCCCACAGGAAATAGCCTGCTCACAAAAACCAAACTTGGAGAGCGGTGGTGAAACCCTCTGAGGACTAATCTCTGGACTGTCAGAAGGCTGAACACACGCGAATGCCATTTTACCTCCTGAGCCTTAACCTTCCACACCTCACCTCTTCCCAATCGGTCTCCTGTGCGTTTGTGAACTTGGAAGCAGATTTTGACCTCCCCGGCAGTCTGGTTGCTCACCACCTGCTCCCGACATTCAAAGGCATTCCTTGCCACTTCCCTGGGGGTGAACTCCATGGTCACCATGACCCTCAAGACTGGCTGGGACCTGCAGGGAGACCAGAGACCCCAGAGGCCTTCAGACAGCAAAAAAACAAAACAAACCCTCCTTCAATAGAGAACAGTGTGTTTCAAAGGGAGTCTCACCTGAGCAGTAGCATAGAGCCCTTGGCCCCCACTGCTAAATCCATTAGTCCATCCATGGTCATGTCCTGGCCCCCGCTCAGTGATTGACCAAAATACTGGAGCCCGGGAGAGAGCTGGGAGCCTGCAATCCGCTGAAGAAAAAAAAAAATTTTAAGGAGAGAAAGGGCATTGGGGGTGGGAGGTGGGAGAGAGATGGATGTGATTCGGCCATCCATGGTGACCTGGCCAATTGATTCTCAGGCCTTCATTCAAGTGTCACCTCCCACAATTTCCAAAGGAATCGGGGGACGATTTACTGTATATTACAATCTTCAGCTGATACCCCAAAGTCCCATCGATTACCTGGATTTTCCGGGAAAAACAAAACAACCCATGTCTAACAGGAAAGAGAAGGAACAGAGTAGATACTTTTTGGTGCATATGAATTTCATGGACGTGGTTAGAATCATACAAACACTGAATATTGTTCCAACCTCCGATAAATAGAGTAAAGGAGACAGGAGGGTGGAGAAACGGAAGGGGCGCTAACGTGTGATAAGAGGGGAACTGAGAGGCGCAGAGGAGGAATTGGCTCGATGGCACTGAGGCTGGTGTTCAGTGTGAGAGGGAGCCGTTAGAGAGAGACCCTGCTGTGTGGACCAGGCTACACGGAGACAGCCCACCAGGATGGCCTACGTCATTTGTAGACTCGGTGCAAAAGAATAAAGCAAAGCCCCTGATTCAAAAAGGACTGAGAAGTTCAAGATGGGAACAGCAGAGCATTCTCCGGAGAGCAGAGTCCTGGGCAGCTGCACCAGTGGCCGCCCATGCAGCGCTCCGTCTAGTAAGGTGACCAACCATTGGGACCTCACTGAAAGAGGGCCTTCTGGTGATCAAAACCCGGATAACTCACTGCCTGGAGTCCATTCCGACAGAGTGACCACATAGGACAGAGGAGAACTGCCCCTGTGGGGTTCCGAGACGGTCACTCCTTATGGGTTTCCACTGCTGACCTGATGGTTAGCCCCCCAACTTGTAACCACTATGCCACCGGGGCTGGTCTGCAAACCCACAATGGGCCCAGCCAAATCCCTGCTCAGTTTCCACCCAGAATTTTAATTGGAAAGGAATTCATGACACCCCAACACATCCAGTTTGCCATGTATCATTTCTTTACCCCTCATCAACAATGGCGAGGTGGCAAACCACCCCCAGCCAGGGGCGTCCTCCATGGTGGAGAGAATGAACTCCAAACTCACCGCCATCAAGTGGATTCCGACTCATAGCAGCCCTGTAGGACAGGGTAGAGCTGCCCCTGTGCGTTTCTGAAACTGTAATTCATTACAGAAGTAGAAAGCCCCATCCTTGTCCCACGGAATAACTGGTGGTTTTGAACTGCTGACTTTATGGTTAGCAGTCCAATGCGTAACCACTGCACCACTAGGGTTTCTTGAACAGTGGCTAGAAGAGAGTTCCTTCTGAAGACTCTTAAAAGGAGTCTGGAATGACTGATCTAGCCACTGTTGGGATGTTGTCTCAGAAAGGGCAGATTATTGAAACAGCTCTTGCTGTGACAAAGATAGGTATAGGTCTCACCTGGCTGTGGGAAGGGCTGATGCCGTCCACTGATGTCCCATGAAACAGGTAGACTGCACCCCGGTTCTCCTCCTCCCCGGGTGCCCCGATGGCCACATCTGTCACCTTGTCCCCATTCAGATCCCCCAACACTGTCAGAGCTGCCCCAAAGCGGCCCCAAGGATGCCCCTGCTCCCCGCTGAGAATAGCCTGGCACTGCCATTTCCCTCTCTGCAAGACAAAACAGATGCCAGGCTCCAGTTGGGGCAACCCCTTCACCCTACACCTAGAACCCACCCAGCTCCCAAAGACCCTTTCAGTCACTCACCCCCTTCGGCAAGGGGCAGACCGACACCTGGCCCCCCCGAGTCGGCTCGTAGTAATAGGGGGCGCCAATGAGGACCAGGTCAGTGTTGCCATCTCTGTCCATATCCACAGAGCAGAGCGAGGCCCCGAAGTAGGAACCGATCTGAAAGAGATGGAACCAGGATCACAAATGCTCACCTTCTGAAGGAAAATCGCACCTGCTGGGGAAAGCCCTCAGGACCCGATGTTCTAATTCAAGTTAAATTCCCGTTTGAAGGTGCTGCCAGCTACCGGAGCATATTATAGAGCCAATGGAGTGGTCAGGTTGCTCCCCAAATGGTCTTCCAGGAGGATTATTAAAGCAGCAAGGGAGAAATCTGATCAGATGATACAGAGAGATGTCTGGGAGGATGACTGGTTACTCTCTCAATCAATCTGGAGTCTTTCGACCAATACCAAACCAAAGGCACTGCATCAGTCAGTTGCGGCTCATTGCAATCCTATGAAACAGAGTTGAATTGCCCCCTGTGGGTTTCCACGACGAGACTCTTTACAGGGGCAGAAAGGCCCACCTTCCTCCCTCGGAGCACCCGTGGGTTCAAACTGCTCACCTGAGGGTGGCAGCCCAGCTCGTCACCCACTGCCTTTGATCTTCCATATAAATGTTCAGAGCCATTTGTTGACGCTATAAAATATCCATCTAGGAATTTGATTCTGAGTTAAACCTATAGATCAACGTGGAGAAAATGGACGTCTCCACAATATTGAGTCTTCCCAATCCCGGGCAACAATGTGTCTCTCTATTCTTTTAGGTCTTGACTGTGTCTCACCAGTAGTTTGTGGTTTTAATCACACAGCAATTGCACATGTTTTGATAGATTGACCCCTAAGTATTTTATGGGTTCTGGTGTTACTGCAAATGGGACCGTTTTATATAAATCTGTGGTGGTTTGTTGCTAGTTCAGAAACATAACTGATTTTTACATATTGATCTTGTACCCTGAAAACTTCGTAAAATAACTTATCAGTTATAGGAACTTTTGTAGAACCTCTGAACTTTTTATATAGTCAGGCCTTCTGCTTCTTTCTCGTCCTCCTCCTCCTCCTCCTTGTCTTACTGCAGAGGTTAGATCTTCCAGCACAATACTGAACAGAAACTCAAAGTAGACATTCTTGCGTTGCTTCTGGTTTTAGGACAAAAGTATTCCGTTTCACTATTAAGTGTGATGTTAGTTGTAGGGCTTTTGGGGGTTCTTTTAAATGCTCTTTGTCTAGTTGAGGGAATTCCTACTTTGCTACAAGTTTTGCTTTATCCTGAAAAGATGTATCGTGTCCAATTATGTTCTGTATCTGTTAAGATGATCAGACTTTATCTTCTTCTCTAGTCTTTTGCTATAGAGACACATTGGTGGGGCAGTGAGTTACATGCGGGCAGCTAACCCCAAGGTCAGTAGTTTGAACCCATCAGCTGCTCTGTAAGAGAGAGACGAGGCTCTGTGCTCCCATAAAGAGTTACAGCCTTGGAGAAACCCACAGGGCTGTTTACGCTGCCCTGCAGGGTCACTTTAAGTGGAACCGACTGAATGATGTGAATTTGGGTTTGGGAATCTGCTGCTATGGTGAATAAAATTTTTTTCAAAATAGTTTTGTTTTATTGGTCACCCAAGGTAACATTGGTCAACTTTGTTTCTTTTTCTTTTTTTAGAGCTTTTTTAGAGCTTACATAATGTGCTGATGTTATTAAGTGCAGTCGAGTGTATGTTTAATTCACAGCAACCCCATGTGGTGGAGTAAAACCGCCTTACTGGGTTTTGTAGACCATTCTGTTTGCCTAAGCAGCACAGCAGATCTTTCCCACAGAGCCCACTGGTGGGTTCAAACCAAGCGCTTGCCCAGGGCTCCTTATATGACATAGGATTCGTTATTTTTAAAAAGACAATTCCGTACTTTTTCATCTTTTCACAACGCTCTGCTACGACTATGAACACCTGGTACCAGAGTACATCCATCACCTCAAAACGACACCTTCCTTTGACTAGCAGTCCACCCTATTGCTCCTGGAAACCACGAATCTATTTTGGGTTTCTGATGTCTACCTTACTTACGTATTTACTGATGAAGCTCAAAGATTGCTTAGCTAGTTACTGACGAAGGTCAGTCTTCAATATAAAGTACATTTCAACCTACAGGAAACAGAAATCCTCACAACTGGGCCTGTAAGCCACATCACGAGATGCCGAGGTGGTCAGGGGTTTCATTTGCCGTTTCATTGCCCACAATCAGCACCCACGGAAGTCAAGAAATCAAATGGGCAGAGGAGGGAACGCTAGAACTGACTGCAAGGAGGCTTATATAACTCTTAAAAACGAGCTTTAACTATGGAAGTGTCTGACATGTAAATTCTATATCGCGAAAACCACTAAAAGAGAAAAAGACACAAAGTTGACCGATGTTACCGTGGGTGAAAGAGGAAGAGGTTTTGCTTAGAGGACACAGTTTATGTTCATGGCGGGGGGATCATTTGAAAAAGGGCGTCGATTGTGATTGTACAACACAGAGAGTATAATCAATGGCACCGAATCATACATGCAGAACTCGTGGAATCGGAGAGTGTTTAATTGCGTATATGTTTGCCACAACTGAAAAATAATTACCCTGACAGCAATAAGCACCAGGAAGGATAAAACGTCTTAAAATTGATTGCGGTAATGACTCTACAGCTCTTCTTGATAGGATCGAACCCTTGAACTATACGTATGTGGAAGACGTGCCAGTAGGACTGTTTTAAGAAAAGAGATCAAATGGCGTATTGCACTGGGTAACCGTCAGAAGACCTCCTGAAAGCGTTAACCAGCGAAGATGTCACGTTGCAGATGCAGGTGGCCCTGGCCCAAGCCACAGTATGCTCCTGCCTCACCTAGAGGCACAAGTCGAACAACGACCAAGGGAAGCCAGAGAGGAGTCGGTGCCTTTGAAGCATGGTCGTGGGGAAGAACGTCCACGTGCTGGGACCACCAGGAGAACAAGCAAGTTCATGGGGGAAGAAGTCCAGCCAGGAGACCCTTCGAAGTGAAGATGGCGAGACTCTGTCTCGAGGAGGAGCCAGTCCCTGGAGAAGGACGCCATGTTGGTAAGGTGGAGGGTCAGCGAAGAGGAGGAGGACCCTCAAGGCGTTAGCTCGGCACGGGGGCTCCAGCAATGGGCTTCACCATAGCGATGGTTCCGAGGATGGTGACGGACGGAGCAAATGTTTGACTCTGTGGAACGCGACCATCACTAAGAGTTGGCACTGAACTCGATCGCACCAGATGGCTGTGACAGCATTGCCTATTCTGGACATTGTATACACAGTGGTACGGATGCAATCACACAGGGTAGAGCCTTCTGGGGCTGGTTTCTTTCCCTTGTTCTTCTTCCGCTTAGGAAGATGTGGCTGTGTTGCATCTGTCTCATAGCCTGTGCCAGCGCTTCATTCTGTTTACTGCCAAACACTGCATCCCAGGTATACGAGGGGTACCCCCCCAAAAAAGTGGCATTCTTTTTTCAAAGCTATATATTTACTTTGTTAAAAAACAAAACAACCTTATCACCTTCAAAGTATTCCCCATGACACTTAATACATTCGTCGTATCTGTGATTCCATTCTTGGGAACGTTGTTCAAGTTCATCTGTTTGGATGGCTGACAGCACCTCCCTCGTTTGTTTGTTTGTTTGTTTGTTTGTTTGTTTTCTTTGCCTCACTATGTTTTCATGTCCCTCTTCAGTCACGGAAACAAAAAGAAGTCACACTGAGCGAGGTCAGGTGAGTCAGGTATGTGGGGCAAGAGAGGCATGCTGTTTTTTGCAAAAACAAAAAAAACAAACTGGTGCACTGAGATGGCGGCATGAACAGGTACATTGTCGTGATAGCAAAAACCAGACTTGATCAAGATTTGTGTGAGGGAACTATGTCAGCTATCCCCAGCTGCATGCACACACACAAAACAAACTGGTAGCATCAAACCCATACTGGCCTTCCTGTAATTCTCTGACACATTCCCCCCCACCCCCTCCTCCTATCTATCGGGCATTGGTGCCATTAATGGGCTGGGTGTGCTGATGAAACCTAGGGGAAGAGCCTGTGAGGAATTTGACTGTTTGCAGAGCATTGGGATCAGCTGCTCCTGGGTGGGGACAAACTGGCTTCATCGACATCTGATGCCTTAATTGCTACTGCGGAGAATCACCCAAAGAGCTGTGGTGGGGACAGTTCCATTTCAGGAATCCAGGGGGGATTCTGGAATAAAGCTTTTGCCTCACACACCAGCCTACACACCAGGCAGGACCGGGCCGCTTGTGCAAGGATGCACAACGTCAAAATATTGAGCAGCTCAGGTTGACCCAGAGGTTTTGCCGCAGCCTCTCTGAGAGCACCTGAAGTCTCTCGTCCGACCTCATTGCTATGAAATCCTGTGCAAGTCCCACGTGTTCTGCAGGCAGTACCAGCGTCCCTATGGCAGGGGGAGCATCTCAGGGAAGCGACTGCTTCTTTGCAGACACGGAAACATTTCACTATGTTAATAGCTAAGGTAACGAGGCGGTAGTGGTGTTGTTCGGTGCCATAGATTCGGAACCTACCCACGGCGACTCTCTGCACCACAGACCAGAACACTGCCCGGTGCTGCGCCGTCCTCTCAATTGTCCCTGTGCCCAAGGGCTCAGCCCTTTGTGGCGGCCACGGTGTCAGTCCAGCTCCGGGAGGGCCTCCCTCTTTTCGCTGTCTCTCCACTTTACCGAGCGTCATATCCTACCCCAGGGACTGGTCTCGCCAATACACTGGTTGGATACCAGCTCTGGGGACAGATAGACTGGCCTAGAGCTCTGTGTGAGCCAAGGGCTGTTGCTGATTGTTGCCAGAAAAGCTAAGGAAACAGCATCCACCAGTGTGAAGTGGAGCCTCGGCCTCTCCAGCTCAAAGCCTTCTCTGCGAGCTTTTTGACGGCGCTCTGGCCGCCGGGCATGGTACGTTACAACTGTGCCGTCCATCCTGGGAGCCCTCCACCCCGGGGCCTCCGCACATCCATGCCTCATGCACTCTGCACTCACCTGACTCCCCTTGATCATGGTGCTGTTCGCCCAGGTGCCAGCAGTGCGCTTGAACATCACCACCAGGCCAGTGTGCTGATGTCTAGGCGCCCCCAGAACCAGACTCTCGATCTGATTTTGCGAGATGACGCCCATGGCGTAACCTGAAGACGGGGATCTAAGTAGAGAAGGGCTTTCCCTCCCAGACCCTGCCCCCTCTCCATCAGGTAGGCTCACCCCCCATGTGGGAACAGTGAGGTAGTCCCATGCTTGGTGCATTGAGAGGTTTCTGGTACCCACACTACGTTCCTCTTCAGTGATGTTCCTCATGAAGAGGAGGCTTGGACGTCTTTGCCTTTCAAAGTGTCCCAAGGGCTTCTGAAAGACTTCGTGACATGCCCCCACAGAATCTGAGCCACCCCACACCCTGCCCTTCCTGCCTTACCCAAGTAAGCGTCGTTCATGTCTGAATCCACCCTGGTGGTGTTGATGAAGGTGTCTTTGCCGTCTAACGTTCGCAAGAAACTTCCACCAGCCCAGTCGTAACTCCCCACAGCACCCAGCAAGGGTCCATTCTGGGGGGACGGTCAGAGCAGAAGTCGTGAGGAAGGAGGAGATACCGCTGCTGGGGCCTCCCGGCGCAGAGAATCCCTGACCCCCTGGCCTCTTCTCTGCCCCTCACAGCTTCCTGGGGGACCACTCACGGAGGTGATGGCGGCACTGAAGCCTTCCTGAGACATCTCCAATTCAAATGAGCTGCTGCTTCCGTTCTGAGTACCTGAGGGGGAAACAGATCACAGACTCAAATCCCGGTGGGCGCCAAGCCAGAGAGACTCCGTGCGGGAATTGGGTTGAACCCGAAAAGACGCATCCCTGTCAAAGGAGTGGCTGCTGCTTCGGCGCTAGGTCAGAAATGCAAGTTGTCCACGACCATGTCCCGTTCTTACCGTCCTTTCTTTGTCAAAGATTGACTGAGCGCCTTCCATGGACTGGGCATGGAGGAGGCAGCAGGGAGCCCAAGAGGCCAGTGCTGGTACCACATCTAAATGTCTACACCGTCATTGTGGGACCTGGCTCAGCCCACGGCCAAGCTTTGCCACAGTTAGAGATAGACAGATCTAGCTTCTTCGATTTCAAAGGAATTGACCGAGGGAGACTAGGATGCTGGGATCTGGAGGAACTGAAAGGAGACTTGGGGTGGAGAGAGTCGGGATGCCAAGGATTGAGAGGGTTGGGTTTCTGGCGGGACAGGAGCGTTTGGGGGAGGGGCTGCCTCTGGACTTGCCCGGAGAACACAGAGGCCTGACTCACCCTCAATGGCAAAGATCTTTTCTTGCAGCTGATTCTGAATCGTCTTCAGGGCTTCAAAGTTATTCACCCGGAACACATGCTCAGAAGAGGGCATGGACGCGATGGTGTTCAGTTCTTTGTGGGATTGCTCGTTGTTGAAGGCATCTCCCACCTGTTAGCAAGGAGGAGAGGCCAAATAAGAGACTGTCTGAAGCATCCTTTGCCAAGTGAGGATATGGACCAGAAGGTCCCTAGGACAGGTCACTTCCCTGCGTCACAAGAGCACTGTCCCAAAGAAGCAGTGACAGGCTGAGACTCCGTCTTTGGACCATGGACTGTGGCATTTCGGGTGCAGGGTCGACCTCCCCCAGGAAGAAGTGGAGTCTTTTTCTTGGCACAAAGGTGTCTCTGCCTCCCAACCCCAGGTACCCATGACGATGCCTTTTTCTAATTCACAGAAGGTGCTGTTGGCAGTGCGGTGAGTCTAAAGACCCCCCACCCTTGCATCAGGCCTGTAGCCAAGCCCTTTGGCCCAAGCTTTGTTGCGTCTTTCTAAGAACGGTGGGGTAGACTGCCCGGGTCCTCCTCTCTGCAAGCAGTCATGGGGCTGGCTTTAGTGATGGGACAGGGTCAGCGGGGGCTGTCAAATGTGGTGCCAGCAGAGGGTTGGAAAGGCAGTTGCCTGTTTCCGCTCATGCCTTTGGTCCTTGCCTTTGCCAGGGAGACACATTCAGGATAGTTGTCTCCGCTCCCAAAGTCACTCCAGTGCCACAGACAGAGTTGGCGACCCCCAACCAAGACCAACAGAGCTGCCTGCCTGCCTGCAGCTGAGTACAGATACCTAACTGGAACCAGCCGAGACCAGAAAGGCTGACCAGCTGACTTTTCGGCTAATAGATTGTTTTTAGCCAGTGAATCGTAGACAATTGTTTACACTGCAGGAACACTTTGACAATAGAGAACAGATCCAGGTGTGGATGGGCTAGCAGTGACCCTTGTCCTGCTTTGGTGCGAGGAAGATGGACAAATGGAAGGGAGGAAGTAGCCAATCAGAAACTCTCCCTCCAGCGGCCGGTCATCCTACCCCAATGACGTAGCGTATGACTCCTTCTTGGTCTGCCTCGGGGATGACATCTTTGTAATCCAAGGGGTCGCCGTACTTCTCCCCATCCGTGATGACAACCAGGATCTTCAGGGCATTCTTCCGGGCTCCGCTGTTCCTGTGAAACAGCTCCTTTCTGCCCAGGAAAGAGGAGGGACAAAATCAAACGCAAGCAGACCAAGATTCTCTGAATGCTCAGGAGGACACACCAGTCAGATCAAGGTCGCAGACAGAGCTGGACTTCTCTAGGGAGGCCTGGGTGTCCAGTGAGACTGACGTTGGAGTGTGGCCGCCCAAGACTTGAAAGGGGAGGAGCAGCGAGTAGGGAAGAGGAACTGCACGGCAGCCTCCTGGCCTTTCTGTCCTTGCAGAGTTTGATCTTCCGCAGGCTACATATTATTACGTTAAAATTCTTAAAAATGGAAATGAAATGTATATACTCGTGTATAAGTCGAGCTTTTTCAGCACATTTTTTAAATCAATTTTTAAAAAATAATTTTACTGGGGGCTCGTACGGCTCCTATCACAATCCATCCATACATCCATTGTGTCAACCACATTTGTACGTTGGTTGCCATCGTCAGTCACAAAACATTTTCTTTCTACTTACGCCCTTGGTATCAGCTCCTTATTTTTCCCCTCCCTCCCCGCCACACCTCCCACATGAACCCTTGATAACATATTTATTATTATGTCATGTCTTACACTGCCAGTGTCTCCCTTCACCCACTTTTCTGTTGTCCGTCTCCCAGGGAGGGGGTTCTATGTAGATCCTTGTGATCGGGTCCCCCTTTCTACCCCACCTTTGCCTTACCCTCCTGGTACCACTATTCTCATGATTGGTCCTGAGGGGTTTATCTATCCTGGATTCCCTGTGTTTCCAGTTCTTATCTGTAACCGTGTACCTCCTCTGGTCTAGCAGATTTGTAAGGTAGAATTGGGATCACGATAGTGGGGGGTGGGGGGAAGCATTCAAGAACTAGAAGAAAATTGTATGTTTCATCAGTGCTATACTGCAGCACATTTTTAATGCTGAAAAGCCCCCCCCCACCCAGTTGTTGGTGGTAAAATTAGGAGCCTCAGCTTATACTCGCGCGTGTATAGTATATACTATATAGTATGCAGTGTATACGGTACTTGAGTATGTAGTATATACGGTATGCCCACATCGAGCCTCTGCTGGACACTGCCACTCCTCTCCAGCTCATCTCCCTGGACCGTTGTCCCCACCTCCACTATCAACGACGCAGAGAGAGAGAGATCAGAAGGTGCTCCGAAACACAGACGTGGAGATGTCTCCCCACTGCTTAGCACCTTCGATGACGCCCCACAGACTAAGACACAGAACGCCAAAATGTTGGATCGTCTTTAGTGACCTGGCCTCAACCCACCTTTCGAGCCCTCCTCCAGCACCTTCTCCACCCTGTCTCCCCTGCCTCTCCATGTGGCGTTTGGTGAACCTTTCACGCACAGTCCCCCCTCCACACTTTGCCTCCCGTCTTTCCCTCCGTCAGAGACCTCCTCTGCCCCACCCCCATCTGGACAACTCCCCTCGTCTTTCAAAGCCCGGCGAAACTGCCCATGGCCTCCCTCCATCCGAAGCAAGGAGGGAGATCCTTACACCACTTTTCGGATCCCCGTGGCTGTATGTGTCTTCCCGAGCAGCTGTCGGATTGGCATCACCAGCGATCTTGGGTTCGGGTTTCGCTTGAAATCGTTGAAGGTAAAATGGGTGCGGAAGTCCTCGGAGTACTGCATCAAGGAGAACTGGGGAGGGAAGGCAGCTGGCGTTACAAGGAGCAGATGCCTCTCCATTCCTTTGGACATCTCCAAACCCAAGAACAGATGTGGTTCACCCAGCCAGCCTCCAAATGCCTTCTCGGTACGTCCCCTCGACCCCTCTGCCTCACCAGGATGGAGATCTGCCCAATAGCTCCCACATCTCAGCGATAGAACTCACCCAGAAAGGACAGAAAGGTGTCATTGCCCAAGCCACCCCCTATTCATTCAGGACTGCCTTCACATGGAGCTGAAAATCATGCTCAGGCAGCATCCAGAGAAGCACGAAGGAGAGAAAGAGACTCAGGAAAGAAAACCATGCTTGAGGGCAACTGAAGGAGGAGCGAGCCCATTGGCCCTCACCAAGGTTTTAGATGTTTGGAATTGACCCATCACCGTGGAGACAAACTGCTTCATCCGCTGAAAGTCTCTTGGGTTGATGCTACCGGAACCATCAATCAAGAAGGCGATATCACTCTCCTGTTGAGGACATTCTTGAGAAGAAGAAAGAGAATATTAATCGAGTAGCTCAATAATTACAGGCTCAAC